TCGGCCCGCGGCGGGCCCGAGCGCCCTGCTCCGCGGGGAGCGCCCCAGCCCCGCTCGGACCCCACGCCTCAGGCACCCTGGGCCCGAGCAATGGCCCCGGGCGTCCTACCGAGCGGGTGCTCCCTGGGCGCGACCCCGACCCCAAGGGCCCGCGGCGCTGGCCGGGCGGGCACTCACACGGCTCCGTTCCGGAAGCCCTTGAGGGCCGCAAGCGCGGTGTGGTAGCGGCGCCGCTGCAGCAGGGAGTTGACAGTGTAGAGAAGGGTCCGGAGCAGCACCCGAGCTCCCTCCATGGCTGCCCCGGGCCCAACGCTAGGCAAGAGCACCTTCACACCGCGTCCGCCGGAGATACGCGCGCCGGCTGCGGGAGTTCCGCGTTCGCCGGGAGTCAGCGCCATGTCTCACCCTATTGGCCATCTCACCTGTCCATCAAACCTCCTGATTGACAGAAACCTCGAGCCTGCCCCTTCAAACCGAAAATCATCCTATAATGTAGGGCGGGGTGGCTACGCTGCAGCCAATCGTAGGCCTCTCTCTCGCGCTCGCTCTCTCTCCCCCGCTCCCTCCTCACGCTCGGTTTCTATTGGCTGCAGCGCAAGGCGGCGAAGTTGCAGTTGGTGCCGGGTGTGCGCAGCACGGGGGTTGAGGTTGTGGGACGGCGGCGAAATCCCAGCCCCGGTCTTAGGTGCATCCACCTGTCCCTACCGCTCCGGGGGAAGGAGACGAGCTGCCTCGTTCAATCAGACCTCGGCTCTGTCCGGCCTTGTCTCGTGTCCCCTTGATGCTGCCCAGTACTAGCCGTCACTGAAGGATGCCTGGGAAGGAGCAGTACAGCATGCCCAGGGGAAACTCCAACCCCTAGGGGGCTCCTTAGACTTACACTCCGGAAGAGTTTGCATCTCTCACCAAAAATCTAATTTTAAATATGTGTTAGGTTTAAATCAGAATCATAGAGCAGAAGAAAGGCCTGATCATCTGGTCCATCCCCCTGCCACAGACAGGATCATCTTTGTCCAAACTGGCCTATCCAAATCCATTGTCTAACCCCCTGGCTGTGAACTGTACCCAGCCTGTGGGCCTTCCCAGGGTTGGGAAATTTGGTTGGGGGGGGATGGTGACAGCACTACAATCCCTCTCCAGATACCAAGTATCCACACCCAGTGTGACTAGATGCAGCCCCAGCTGTTGTCATGCAGCTGGTTTGGACCCAGGCTAATGCCTGGTAGCTGGACGGGACAGCTAAGGCTGGGCCTGCCTCACAAGGCTAGATCCAGGCTCTGCCAGGCCCTACTGTGTAACCACATTGGGCTTGGGACATTCCCACATGGCTGTATCAGGCCCCAGCTGAGCCTGCCCCATGCACTGGATCAGGCCCATGTAAGGAGCTGGCACCACTCATCTGGCCTGTGAGACAAAAAGTTGGGGCACCAGTGGTCTAAAACTGCATAGTGAATCCTGACACAGTCATAAGACATAACACCTTAACCTGCTGCAGGTAAAGCAGGGAGACAACAGTGGCCAATGTCCTCCTGCTGCGAGGATTGTTAATATACACTTGAAAGATCCAAGAAAGAGAGCTATACTCGCAACTACAGAAGAAGGTAACTCCCCACTCCCTCCACAGTCTGTACCAACCTGACTGTTAGTGGGTGTTCCTAAAGCTGATTAAATATTTAAAAAAATTGACTTCCCCTGTGGGTGTTTTCTCTCTTGCCATGACTTGATGGGAGTTAATTCAAACCACGGCAAGCAGACAAACTCGATATTTCTTAATTACGGTCAAAGTCAGCCTTCTTATACCTTTTATTCTCTAATCGCTTCTTTATCAGGCTGCTCGCTTATTCTCTAAAACAGTGAAACCCATAGATAGACTATTAGGCAAAAAAACTCCAGGTGACCATGCCCTTACTGTGGACCTCCTTACTGGAGGACACAAAAGCAGGACTAATCATTAATAAGTCACCTTAGTTTGGGCTTCTGCTTGGGCTTAGCTTGGGCTTCTGCCCCCTTTTGTTTGTGCTACAAATAAATTGTCCCAGTCTATTTGTTACTCATCCAGAATTGGCCAACAGTTCATTAAAAAAAAAGTCTTTAATTAAAGTCCATCTACCTGTTCCTGGGTGTAGACAGTCTGATCTCTAGTTGTGGCTTTACTTAGCCACTTCTCAAAATATGCACAAGGGAGATTCCACTCCCTGGATCCTTTCGTGCCTCCGCATGAATTCAGCTCTGTCACTTTCTAGTCTCAGGCATCCAGATCTCTTCATTTGCCTTCCGGGGATTGGTACAGCAAAACGTCATCTGGCACCAGTGGTTGATGTCATCTCCTCCGGTGTCCCTCTGCTGCTCCAGTAGGTTTCTTTCCTTCTCTTAATTACAATAACAGGGTCATGGGCTCCCTTTTACACTGACCAAAAGGTAAAATTCCTTCCTGACTCCAAATATGGCAATCAGTCTGACCCTGAACTGAGGGGCAAGACCCCCTAGACAGAAATCTCTAGGTTTAAGTCTCAGCAGGCGCATGGACATACCCTAGTTAAAATCCCCAGCCTTGGCTGAAGCCAGTACCCAATGCTTCTAGGGAAGGTGGAGGTGGGAAAAAAACAAACCCTGACTGTTATAGCAACAGGAGGGGAGGATTCCTTCCCAGCTTTTGTGGCAGCCAGCAAAGCCCAGAAACATGGGAAGTATCCATAACAGAGTATAGATACAGCTCCTTTCAGATCATCTCTGACCAAGAGAAGAAGTTGTTCTGGCTATCCAATCTAAACCTACTTAAACCTACTTTGCTGTACCTTCAAACCATGGGCCCACACCCTATTCTCTACAACAAAAAAGCAGAATGTACTGTCTTTAATTATCTAAGTATCCCCTTGTTCTTACACAGAGAAGGATTAAATAGGAACACTTGATTTACCTTCATTATTGTGCACATTTAGAAGTAAAATAGATTAAGGAGCACATGCCAATTATTCATCTCCTCTGAGTAGTTCCAGTATCTTTCAGTCACTTTTTATCTGAAAGCTTTTATTCCCATATCCCTAATAATTTTTACTGCATATCTCTTTACCCCTTTGATTAAATCCAGTAATGGAGTCCTGTCTAGGACTGGTCAACATAGTGAGAGGTGAAAATAGCCTTTTCTTCTGGAGCTGCCAATTCACTGACCAGTATCAGACTATACTACCAGATGGGCTTTGCTGCAATTGGTTGTCATGGAGTCCCCCTCTGGTGGGTGTTCGCTCAGGACCCCTGTGACCTTGTATGGTCTTTGGAAGTACCCCCGGAAGGCATCACTTCTAGAGTATCAGAGGAACCTGCCTCCTTATCACTCTGATACCCTGTTCTTTTGGTCCCTCCCTTTTCCCGGATATCTGTGGCCCCAACTAAAAGAGCTAGTTCAGTTTTTCCATTACTTAACTTTCAATAATTAATTCATTACAAAAATCTTTACACAAAATATTAACTAATTAAAGATTCTATGTTTTATGTCAGGGGTCCTCAAGCCCCATCCCACAAGCCAAATGCAGCCTGTTGAACCATGGCATCTGGACTATAGGACTCCCCATGAGCTGGGAAATTTTGTGGTGAGGAAGTAGTGGTAATTAAAATTTCCATACTTGCACCATTGCCAAAGTCCTGCATGGCCAGATTGGGTCTGTGCCAGGCTGTTGCCACACAGCCAGATTGGACCCAGACTGTTCATGCACAGCCAGATTGGGCCCCTGTTGCACCCACCCCACAAGCTGGATCAGGCTCACTGGCTGGATCTAGCCTGCCAGCAGATCTGGCATAGCCCATCCAGGGCAAAAAGTTTGGGTACCACTATTTTATCAAGTATCTGTTCTGTAGATCTTTCAAGGCAGCACAGAGACATCTAGTGACTGAACAGAATAACTGAAAATAGACATCATTAGATCTGTAGCAGGCAACCATTGATCCTCTCAATCATGGTGTACACAGTAAGAAGTCTAGTCAGAAGCCTGATGAATCTGTGTTGCTGACAAGCCCAATTCGAGAGTGATTGTAAATGTCCATGAGAGATTGGGTCTTTTGTATGTATACCCTTCAGACTGGACAGTTTGACTCTAGTGGCAAAATGCTATGGTGCAATGTGAGGTAGTATGCCTAATTGTAGTTTTATAAAGGTATAGCTCTTCCACCTTTTTCAGGATTAGGTCACCAATAATAACAAGATTTCAATTACCAGTTTATTCTAGTGGTGATCCCGATTCTTGCCTGCCATGCCTTTGATGGAAAGAATTTTATTTATTTTTAATTGGGAGGGATGGATTTAGACACCACTGTATAACCTGAATATGTTAATTTATCTTGTAGCACTGAACTCTTGAAACCTTCCTCCAAGTCTATGGAAATTCTGCAATTCTTATTATAAAAACTCAGGGATCAGTTTTTTTCTTTTAAGTGTCTTGTATTATTTAAATTATGTAAAATTTTTTTTTTTTTTAAGTAGTTCAGAATTTTCTTCTCCAATTCCTAACAGATAGTTTCTTTAGACTCTGGTAACTACAATGCCCAGTCTTAAAAAAAACAGGATAAACAACAAAACGAGAAGAAACCCTTTTCAGATGAAGTTGCTTAGTACGCTCATCTCCTAGGGATACGTCTATCAAATAATGAAAGTGTTTCCGACGTCTCTCCCAACTATCTGTGTTGGGGCTTCAATTTTTAGAGTCTGCAATGTTCACTATTCTCCAACTCACTTTTGGTTCTTTTGTTTTTCCCAACATAAAACGTAAAAAAAAGGTTTTACTTGTTTCTGCTGGGCTCCCATATTCTCCATATAGTTATCCTCTTTTTGTCCCTTGTTTTACATCAATGTCTTCAGCTGGAGCCTCTCTCTGGCCAATAAGACTCCTCAGTCTCCCAGCCAGCTGCCTGTTGGCTCTCCATCACTTCAAGCGTCCCACCTGCTCCCTTGGGCTTCTCTCTCCACCACATCACTCTTCTCACCTTCATCCAGGTCTCTCCTTGTCTCCGCCTTTCTCTGGGGCAATTCTAACTTCACGGAGCAGTAACTCAAACGCGCGGCTCCCAGCGAACTCTCCTCTCCTTTGCTGGCTCCTGCCCATTCTTGGGCAGCATTGGAATTGTCCTCTTTTCTTCCTCACACAGAAATACTCTTTTTCACCCACCATGCTTGAAGTTTCAATACCAAAGTGGAGGAAGGTTTTTAATTCCTATGCACTGGGATTTTGCTCAGTCACGTAATCTACCTTGGGGCTCTGCCTCCCCTACACCCTGTCCTAGCGCCAACCCAATGTTATCCATCAGGTAAGTAGGGCCACCTGCATGCCCACAGCATCCTTAAATACTTGGTGCACAATGCATCTAAGCCAGAAGCCACAATTCATCAGTGCCCATAGACTACCTGGCTATCTCTGTACAGTGT